GAGGAGAGGAAAAGAGGAGAGGAGAGGTGGAGAGGAGAGTAGAAGAGGTAAAGTAGAGGAGAGGAGGACAGTAAAGTAGAGGAGGAGAGTAGAAGAGGTAAAGGAGAGGAGAGGAGAGTAAAGTAGAGGAGTAAAGAGGTCAAGTAGAGGAGAGGAATAGAGGAAAAAGAAGAGAAGAGTAAAGTAGAGGAGTAGAATAGAAGAGGAAAGGAGGAGAGGAGAAGAGGAAATGAGAAGAGTGGTGTAGAGTGAATCAGAGTTGGAAGGGACCTTGGAGGTCTTCTAGTCCAACCCCCCCGCCTAGGCAGGAAACCCTACACCACTTCAGACAAATGGTCATCCAGTCTCTTCTTTAAAAACCTCTACCGTTTTGAGCATTCACAACTTCTGGTGGCCAGCTGTTCCACTGGTTAACTGTTCTCACTGTCAGGAAATTGCTCCTTAATTCCAGGTTGCTTCTCTCCTTGGTAAGTTTCCCTCCAATATTTCTTGTCCGGCCTCTTCAGGGGGCTTTGGAGAATAGCTTGACCCCCTCTTCTTCTTTGGGGCAGCCCCTGAGAGATTGGAAGACTGCTATCACGTCTCCCCTAGTCCTTCTTTTCATCAAACTAGACCTACCCGGTTCCTGCAGCCATTTTGGATACGTTTTCATCTCCAGCGCCCTTAATCATTCTTCTTGCTCTTCTCTGCACTCTTTCCAGAGTCACAACATTTTTTTTGTATACTGTGGCGACCCAAACTGGGTGCAGCATTCCAAACGCGCTCTTACTAAGGCGTTATCGAGTGCAACTAAGACTTCGTGTAGTCTAGATGCAGCTGCCTTGGCTTACCAAACGGCCCCCAAGCCATGGCGGGCTTTGAAGACGACCGCTGACATCTTGAATTGGACCCCGGAGCAAATTTAAACGTCGTTGTCGAGTTTGTGCCGTCTTCGGCTTGGCGCCTTGCTGGCGTCCTGCCCCCAAAGGAGAGGGGGGGGGAGGGAGACACGGGGGGGGGGGGGGGGGGGGGGGGGCAAAGGGGGAAAGGGGTATGGGATGGGAAATTAGGGGGGGGGGGGAGGAAGAGCTCGGAAACCCGATTGTGGCAAGTAGTCAAGGCCGCCGTTGCGCCCTGAGAAAGAACGTCGATTAAGTCCCAACGCCTCAGCTTTATCAAAACACCGACCCGAATCTCCCGTTGGCTGAAGATGGACTGGCCACGGGTGGCGGGGGAGGGATAAGGGGAGACTTTCTGTATCTTTTGAAATTCAGGTCTAGCCTGATTTTACCGCATTTTACGTCGTTTAGGGAAAGAACCGATCGTTTCAGCCAAGTGGAGTCGAGGGTCTTTCTTTCCTAAGGGATCGGATTGAGGCAGGCCTGACACTTGTACGTTGTAACCATGTCCTACCACTCAACTTTCTTCTTCGCAACGCATTCTTTCCCCCCCCCCCCCCCAGGGAACGTCCGGTGTCTCTAGCCAGCCCAGCCTCAGAGCTGGCCAACCCCACCCTAGATGAGACGGCAACTCAACCATGTCTGCACATCTCCATTTCTGGTTCTTCTCTGGAGATCTCGGAGCCGATGGACACCACCGGCCGGGAACTCGTCCCGTTTGACAGCGATGATACGGACGACGAGTCCTCGCCGAGTCCCTCCGGTACCCTTCAGAGCCGTTCCACCATCTCCAGTTTTACAAGTGAGTTCTCTTGTTTCCAAAAAAAAAAAAAAAGAGGAGGCAGGAACTACCTGTACAGGTAGTTCTCGGCTTATGACTGTTCATTTAGTGACCGTTCAAAGTTACAACGGCACTGAAAAAGAAGTGACTTACGAGCGGTTTTCAGGCTTACGGCCGTTTTTCTCAACCGGGGCAATTTTAAAACGGGTGGGCTTCAATTCCCGGAATTCCTTGGCCACCTGGGGAATTCTGGGAGTGGAGGTCAGAATAACAGAATTGGAAGGGTCCTTGGAGGTCATCTAGTCCAGGGGTCGCCAATCTTTTGGACCACAGGGACCACCAAACTCATCCTTTGAAATCCTGCGGACCAGAGACCCTGGGAAAATCCCCCCAAAAAGGTCTGCAGGAAAATCCCCCACCCCGTTTTCCTACCAATCGATGGTTCTTTATTTGGGATCGCAGGATATTGTCTCCAGCTCCATTCTTGGGGAGAGAGAGAAAGAGAGAGACTTTTAGCTTCATGCAAGGAAAACAGCAGAAGCCGCAGAAGTCTTTCTTTCTCTCCCCCAAACTCCGCCAGAAATGAGTCTTTGCCGGCGCAGCTTCTTGGAGCGGGAGGCCTTGCAGGGTCCCCAAAGACTCATTTCTGGCGGAGTTTGGGGGAGAGAAAGGAAGACTTCGGCTGCTTTCCTTGCGTGCAGACAAAAGCAGAAGAAGAAAGAAGCAGCCCGGTGGCCAGGCCAGGCATGTGGGGCGCATGGGACAAGTTCCCCCCACATCCGCCCTTTCCCGCCTCCCCTCACTACCACATGTTGTTCACAATGCAAGCGACGCAAGCCTTGTGTTCCCGCGGGCCATGTGGGCGGCGCAGCCCTGTGTTCCCGCGCAGCCTGGATTAATTGCTTTGGGGTAACATTTCTCTGCGGACCACCAACATTTTCTCACGGGCCACCAGTGGTCCCCGTCCCACTGGTTTGGCGACCACTGATCTAGTCCAACCCCCTGCCCAAGCAGGAAACCAGATACAGATAGTCCTCAACTTACAATAGTTCATTTAGTGACCTTCCAAAATTACAACGGCACTGAAAACAGTGACCTATGACCGTTTTTCCACACTTACGACTGTTGCAACCTCCCCAAGATCAACATTCAAATGCTTGGCCACCGACTCATAATTATGACGGTTGCCCTGTCCCGGGACCTTGCGATCGTTTTTGCGATCTTCCATCAGGCAAAGTCCACGGGGAAGCCAGATTCACTTCATGACCGTTGTCCCTAATGTAACAAACTGCAGCGATCCACTTAACCGCCGTGGCAAGGAAGGTCGTAAGATGGGGTCAAAATTCGCTTCACAAATGTCTCGCTTCACAGCAGAAGTGTTGGGCTCAGTTGTGGTTGCAAAAGTCCCATCACACACACACACACACACACACACACACACACACACATACAACACACACACACACAAACTCACCCAAAAAACACAGCGAGTTGGTTGTTTTTAAGCCCGTTGCCATCAACCAAGGCTTTGTTGCTTTAATAAACGTTTTAAAAATACTTAGTTGAAGGAAGCATTCGAGCACAAACAATTCGGTTGTCTTTCTGTTCCTAAGAAACAGTCCTCTTTATGACCTAGCAAAATGTCCAAATATTTTTCCTCCTTGGAAGCTGCCCTCGTTTATAGCCACTTTTGAGAAGAGCAGCGTTGTTACAACCGAGACGGAATAATAGGACGTATATTCTGCCCAAAACGAGAGCTGGTGATCGGAGGGTTTTGTTATGGTTTATATTAACCCTGTAGCCCGTGTCAAGATGGCGCGATGTGATATCCTGTTAATAAACAATGGCCTGGAATAAACCATCATCTCAAATAACAATGCTCCCTCCTAAAACAAATACCACGCTTCCCCGAAAATAAGACCCTGTCTTATATTTTGGGGGTCACCAAAAAAGGCAGCAGGTCTTATTTTCGGGGGACGTCATCATCCACTGACTAATCTCACTTGCGTGCGTTGCCCCCGGCCTCCTTTTCACCGTCCGAGGCCAGAACTACTACTTCTGTGGCCGGCAAGGCTTTCCTGAAGGCCTCTGCAGCCGATAATGGAGCTCAGGATCGATCCTGAGCTTTGTTCTCAGCTCCAGAGGCCTTCAGGGAAGCCTGGCCAGCCTTGCCGGCTGCAGAAGAAATGGGCCGGCGAGGCAGGTATCAGGGTATGCGAGGCCTGGCTACACCTGCCCAAAGGTAAGTAGTAGGGCAGCTTCACCCTTCCATCCCCACCCTAGCTTAATTTTTACCTGTCTACTCTGGAGTGGGTGGGATCTTCATTAGGGCTTATTTTGGGAGGGTAGGGCTTATATTGGGTATATGTGTAAAAAATCAAGCTAGGACTTACTTTCAGGGTAGGTTGTATTTTCGGGGGAACAGGACACACACAGACACGCACATATCAAGACGTATTCAGCAGGTTCTGACCAGTTCTGGAGAACCAGTAGTGGAAATTTTGAGTAGTTTAGAGAACCGGCCAATCCCACCTCTGACTGGCCCCGCCAATCCCATTTTATTCTCTGCCTCCCATTGAGTCCCAGCTGATCGGCTGGGTCTCCCTTGGTTGCCCTGCACAGGAAAACGGAGCTGGAAAGCAGGTCAGTGGGGTGGGGAAGGAATGGGGATTTTGCAGTAACCATCCCCTGCCATGCCCACCCAGTTATAAAAAAATTGAATCCCACCACTGATATACCCACACACGCACACACACACACACACACACATATATATATAATTAAAAGGGGCAGTCCATCATTGAAAATGGAATAAAGCCATTAATTCTAGCAGCCAAATCTCCAGGCATACGTTCCTGTTCAGCTATAAACTACTTTTCCGAGTTGATGGCTGTTAAAAGTTCCGTTTTCCTGCCAGAAGGTGTGCAGGCTGTGATTTTAAGAAGTTAAAAATTCAGTTCAGTAAAGGACTCTGGATTTGGGAACGGGGTTCTAAACCTTTTGACAATAACTCACCTGTATTCTGGAATAAAAAGTGTTGAGGAAGAAGTGGGTGGTTGTGGCTTTTTTTGTTTTTCCAAAATCTCTCGAATCTGAAGAACCAGGAAAAAGTGTGGAGAAGAACAGTAAAGTCATTGTTTTGCAGCGCCGTTGTAACTTTGAGCGGTCCCTAAATGAATGGTCGTAAGTCGAGGACTCCCTGTACAGATAGTCCTCGAGTTACAGCAGTTCATTTGGGGACCGTTCAAAATCACGACGGCGCTGAAGAAAGTGACTTAGGACGTTCTAACCGTGGTCACGTGATCAAAATTCGGATGCTTGGCAACTGACTCGTATTTATGACGGTCGCAGTGTCCCGGGGCTGTGTGGGCGTCACGTGATCTCCTTTTGTGACCTTCTGACGAGCAAAGATCAACGAGGAAGTCAGATTCACTTAAGGACCATGCAGCTAACTTAACTGCAGCGATTCACTTAACAACGGTGGCAAGGAAGGTCCTAAAATGGGGGGGAGGGGGGAGAAATTCACTCTACTGTGTCACTCCATCCTCCTCCTCCTCTTTTAATGGCCCCGTAATCCTTTGCGGTCTGGAATCTGGGCAACTGAATGGAGTTGAGTGTTTCCTGGCCGGATGCCTTTCTTGTTACCAGTGCGGAGTTTTGTTCAGCAGATATAATCCTCCTTGTGCCCAGAGAGAGAAATATCTGCCTTCTCCCTAGGATCAAACTCACCGCCTCCCGATTGTGAGGCGAGAGCACCACCTCTAGGCCACCTCATCACTCTTAACAACCGCTAAGTAATCCCCCCCCAAAAGGTTGGGCTCCCATTGTGGCCGTAATTCAAGGACCCGCCCCTTTTTCCTTCGCCAGATGAGGAGATCCCCAGCTCCAAAGACGCGATGGCGGAGACCACCAGCTCGGAAGAGGAGCAAGACCCCAGCGGCTTCCTCCCGATCGGTCGCCCCTTCGCCCCGCAGAACCAGATCGCCGAAAGCCCCATGGATGGCCAAGCTATGAGACGCTCCAGTCAAGGCTCCTTCACCAGGGCCAGCTTGGAAGACCTGCTGAGCGTGGATCCCGAGGCCTATCAAAGCTCCATGTGGCTGGGCACGGAGGACGGGTGGTAAGGAGACCCCTGCCCTGGAATCTCTCCAGGCCCGCTGTTGAGGGCCACACCGGAACAAGAGTTTTTTTCCCTTGGGGTCCAAATTGGGAAGAGGGCCCTCTGCAGGATGGCAATAACGCTTAGACTTATCTAGCGCTTCACAGTGCTTTTCCAGCCCTCTCTAAGCGGTTTACAGAGTCAGCCACCGAAGGAGGGAGGGAGGAAGGAAGGGAAGGGAAGGGAAGGGAAGGGAAGGAAGGAAGGAAGGAAGGAAGGAACAGTAGGGAGGAGAGAAAGGAAGGAAGGAAGGAAGGAAGGAAGGAAGGAAGGGCAATAGCTGTTAGCACTTATATACCGCTTTCCGGTGCTTTCCAACCTTCTTTAAGCGGTTTACAAGCTTCTTGACCCCAACAATCTGGGTCCTCATTTTACCCACTTCGGCAGGACGGAAGGCTGAGTCAACCTGGAGCCCGGCGGGATTCAAACGGCCCAATTGCAGGCACCACCACTTCCGTCTCCTCCTCCTCTCCACAAAGCCCCTTCTCTCCTAGCACTGATGATGTTCTCTAGATGGGTCATGAAACGGCTGCGAGAAAACCACCCAGCTCAGAGAGCACCAAGGACCTCCCCCCCCCCCCCCCCCCCCCCCCCCCC